TGCGTTAAAGGATGATGGTGTGTGGACACCATCTGACAAATAGGTGATCATTTGGTCATGCCACAGCAGCTAACACTAAGTGCAGTTATAATGAGCCTTGGTGAAAACCACCCAAGGTGATACGAAGATGTCAAGAGACGCAACACCAGGGGGAGGGGGAAGGGATAAAGAGATATGGGCACCAACACACACACACTTGAGTCGTTGAGAAAAGACCTTTTGGTAATCGTCACTGTCTTGCGATCAGGAGCAATTACTCACACAACATATACACACACTTATTACTGCCTATTTATGCCTCACTTGGATCATGAGGTTGCAAACTTTCTACAGTTTAAAATTGGTTACCATTATTGGGAAACAAATTTAGCAATACAGTATGTGACATTGCAGAAATTTCTTTCATCACTGTTTTAGAAGTTTTTTGGCTAGGTAAAAGATGATTTCTCTGGGAACTTTTTGGCATAGAGGGGAATTCAAATGTGAATCCCAATCATCTGATTAGAAAATCCTGGGAAGGAATCCAACTTGCAAGGACACAGGTCGCAGACATAATGACAGTGAGAGCAAGAGGAAAGCAAGGAAGGAAGGATGACAAGAGAGAGAGATGGAGATGAAGATACCTCAAGAGTTTGGCAGCTAGCTCGGTAAAAGAAATAAGACGTGTATCATGTGGCACAAGAGTGCAAAAAGAAAAAAGAAATCAATTTATATGCTGTGAGCTTTGCCACAGGGACCGTGACTTCAGTACAAACTCGCTCACATACACATTGTCACAGTATCTCAGCACGTCACTGTGTGTGTGTATCTCAGGCTGACAGGTGCCACACAGCGTTGATGCAAACGGGCATCAGATGAGCCTCGGATCTCCTGCCAAGGCCACAACGCTCTCCTCTCATTGCTTCCACGCCAATCTGTCTAATGAGCGAGATGACACGCATACGCAGCCATGAGATCCACATTCAGTACAGTAGGTCCATGCAATGTGACGCACACACCCCAAGTGTTTCTTCCTCTCTCTCTCAAACACATTTACACACACACAGACATCATCTCCAGCGTGCATGCACGTACACACATAAACACAATACTGAATCCCATTCTGACCACCCACACTGGATCAGCAGGGAGAATAGATTCAAATCAGCAGGACTAATGCGGGGGAGAAAGACAGTGGCACATTTGTCTCCAAACACCCCACTATTAATATTCTCAATAAAATAGAGTTTGGGAGGATGGTGATGGTGGGTGGTGTGAAGGGATAGCGCTGTGGAGGGGTTGAAGGACAGGAAGAACAGAGCAAGGTGGTGAAGAGGAAGGAAAGAAGTATGACTAAAAAGGTAGGGAAGAAGGTAGGGAAAAAGAACTAAATCACAAATCAAGGAGAAGGGAAAAGGAGGAAAAGGAAGGAATGAAAACGGGTGAGGGTTGCAGAGAAAGTCAAATCACAGAAGAAGTGGATGACACATCTGTCTAGACGCCAGCATTGTCTAGACAAAGTCCCCTAATCAAGTTACCGATCCTTCTTCCACACAACAAGATAGAACACCAGGGTGTGTCTAAGTATGTGTGTCTCCTTGTACACACACAAAGACACACACACTTGGATACACATTGCCATGGCAACACTGACAGTGCTGACCAGCCGGAGTGGCATCAATGTGGCAGGCCGTCCTTGCCTTGGAGATAGAGAGAGAGAAAGAAAGAGGGAGACAGAGAGCAGCAACACCAGCCTAGCTTTGCTACTTTGCTAACTAGAGCTCCACCCAGCTCCACCCAGATCCAGACTCTCCACCACCTGCCTGAGAGCAGAGAGTAGGGATGCTGCAGTAGAGGACATTACAAAAAAAAAAGGATTTCTGCTACTTGACATTTTATTTATGGTGCTCAACACAGTGGAATACTTTTTTCTATACACAGACACACATACAAAATTAGAGGCTGTAAAATGATGAGCTGCAGTGGGGTAGCTTAACTTAGCTCACAGACTGGATAAAGGGGAAATCAGCTCAACTGGCTTATTCAAAGGTAATTTGTCAATTTTCCCTTAGTTTTTTGGGAAGAGTAAACTAACAAAATATATAAAGATAAAAAAATGAATTAGTGAGCTGTGTAACCTTTGATCCAGGCCAGCTGTATCCCTGTTTCCAGTCTTTATGCTAAGCTAAGCTAACCGCCTGCTAGCTATAACTTCATTTTTATCTGACAGATATGAGAGTTGTGTCAATCTTCTCATATAAATCTCAGCAAGAAAGGGAATGAGTGCATTTCCCCAAAATATTGAATGTTCACAGTCCAGCCGACAGAAATGCTATACTGGGGTTTGATGCAAATAAAAGATTACAATTAAATGCAAGAAAGTAATGTACCAATGCAGACCTAGGCTCATAAATTCAGCATCACTTACTGAACCAACTGCACTAAAAAATAAATAAGATAATATAAAAGAAAGAAAGAAAGAAAGAAAGAAGGAAACAGAGGTCATATATAGTTGCAGAAACAGAGCAATATATAGACTGATGAATACCACTCGGAACAACCCCCTCCTCCAACACCCCAACCCACCCCTTGCCCTTTCATCATTATTGTTGCATGTAAAAATAACTGAGTGCATTTGGTCATTTGGCAATGACAAAATGTCTGCAGTCAGAAGCCTCAGAGGCTCTTCACGCTGCACATTTATGGTCCACCTTATGTGGAGTGACTCACTGTTTAAGTGACATGTGACTGAGTCCGCTACATTTAGCAAACCCAGTGTGACGACCATTACCGTAATTGATATTGAATGCTCAATCAATGCCAAGGAGGCTATTAGCTCTTGCCAGGGTACAATGCAATAATTTAACTGTTGATGCTTGCTACATGTCTGTGTTAAATGTAGTGTGTAACATGCAGAAATGATCTAATTTTAGTTATAAAGTGTCTTGTTAAGCAGCGTGAGACACTAATGATTTGCTATATACGTTTCCCTAAAGCTTGGGCTGACACTGCATGTCTTTGGATTGAACTAGATTTCATTAGGATTCTCTTATCAGATCACATGTCAATTCTAATTTAATATGCACTCTTTTCATCATCGCAAACTTCCCTTCATGTCTCCATTTTCGCCCTGTTTGTGTCCTCTTATTGCAAAATGTCCTTCCCTTCTACTATGTGTGGGCATGTTTGGTATGAGAGTGTGTCTGTAAGAAAGGACATTACATGTACTGTATGTTTCTGTGTGTATCAGGACACACATGCATCCTTGTGGTTTGTGTCAGCCTGTCCTTGCATTATACTCATTAGTGTGACAGAATTAGAGACTAATAACCCAGAGGATATGCCTGTGTGTGTGCATGAGTGTGTGGGCAAGTATGTTCTGCTCCATTTTGTGCATATAGTCAGTACTGATGCAAAAGCCAACACACTGATGCTAACATTACTTTTACAGTAAAGTCTGTTTCACATTTGACACTGTAAGGTCATAATGGATACAACGCCAATCATGTGGCTCTTGATGACTCACACTTGTCTAAAAGAGTTTAAGGCTGGCCACATTCTGTAATAGCATTCTTTATTATACCAGATGTAATTACTGTAAACCAAATCTAGTTTGACTGGTGGCCTGCCCAGTGTGTGTTCCTGCTTTATGTCCAATACATGCAGGGAGAGGCTCCAGGAAGAAGGGACAATTATCCTGATGAAGTTATGTGATTACCGTTAGATCAGCTTGATGTGAGAGTAGTGTAATCACACTACATAGTGCCAACAGTGCAAGGGGAGTATGGCAGAGCATAAAGAAGAAGTAACATGATAACCTCATATAAATGAGGCTAGTCTGATCTCCCTCATCAAGTACTGAAATACTAAAATATTCTGGTGGTTGTCTAAGCCCAAAAAAAGAAGAACTCTAGAAGAGGCTACAGCCATAATAGTGGCTTTGCGATGCTATATTTAGACGCAGAGGTCATTTTTGGTAATTGCTAATGTCAGCATGCTATCATGCCCTCAATGACAATTCTATCATGCTGTGTTTTAGCTGGTAATAATTGTTTACCACGTTCATCATCTTGGTTTAGTTTGGGAGCATGATAATTGGCACTAAACAAGTACAAAATAAGGTTAACAAGGGTGTCATTAGTTTGCAGGTTTTGCCAATCTATCTTGTAGATGTAGAGATATTTCAAGGGATAAGTTATCACTGACATGTTGGTGACACTTGATGAAGAGTCAATCACTTAAGCCGTGATGGTTCATCCTCTGGAAACAATGGATATCAGTACCAGTAGATATCAGTAAATTTATATTTATATTAAAACAGCTTTTGAGACATTTCACACGAAAAAACAAAAATGGTGGTGTTAAAAGGAAATGTCAGGGGGTCGCCAAAGTCATTAGGATTCATCCTCTGGGGATACATTTTTTGTAATCCATCAGTCCCTATTGCCATGCCACTAAGGTGGCTAAAAACTGAAAATAAACTAGGCACAACACTATGTTTATATGATGAAAGCAATGATCTAGAAAATTATGTCAAGTCGCTGAAAGAAGCAATGGTAAAAGAAATACTTGAATGTAACTTTCTGATAAAAACACCAAAATAACTGAGGACAGCTTCGGGCAAGTACAAAGCACCCACCAAAAGGACCTATAATTGGCAGACGCATTGACATTCTAAGTAACTGTCCCGAGAGGTCAGCAGTGTTATGAATGGAAGGGAAAGGAGCAGCTGGTGACCAGGGCAAAGAGGGGGCTAGCGTGTACTGGCCATTGGGTTGCTGGGCTATATATAGCCTAGAATGGCCTTGCCTTGGTGTTAAACTGTACACTGCGGACAGTGCTGGGAGGCTGAGCTCTACATCATGGGAACGCCTACTAGATGCTAGACGTTGTGGTGACAGGGATGAAGAGAGACAGATAGCCGGTGGGAGGTGATGGCTGCTGTGTACTATTTTTTATAATAGAGTGTAGATGATATGAGAGAGATTATAAATTTCTACAATGCATGTGTTTCAACTTACAGCCTTCATATATATCCGTAGGGATGTGGACGGCAGTGGTGTTGTAAGAGACGAGTCGTTTGAAGTCAGGGTCTATCTCGAAATCATCTGGAACATATCGGTTCTTCTTAGTCTGTGTCTGGTTAAACTGCACAAAAGGGGGGAAAAACGCAGAACATGAGGTTTCAAAAGCATCTTGCAAAGCATTTTTTGGCTTAATAGGGGTCTGTGTGTACACTTTTGGTTTGTAAACATACTGTGTATGCAGTTTCTTGTTAATGTGAATGACAAGGTGTCAATGTTGAGCGCTCACTGAAGTGTCACTACTGACAGATAAACTAAATCAAAATTTTAGGCAGTGAAACATAAACCCAGGCATCCAGAGAAATACAAAGAGGGGAGAGGGTCTGTCAGTCAAATACAGAGTGACATTAGTGTGCTGTGGGTGTGTGGTTCTTTCCCACTGGGAATGTGGAGGGGAATTAGATGCTGATCCCTGTTTACAAGAGCAGACAGATGACGTCTGAGGCCAAGGGAAGAATTCAATGTCTCACGCATACGCATGTGTTTCTGAGTGTGCTGATACTTATGCATAAAAAGCCCTGTACATGTGCATAATTTAGCAAAGTATGGATTTAAAATTAATAATTCCTATCCATGCATCACACACACACACACACACACATATAGAAACTTATTTTCACAGATTCCTAAAGGCTATCAATAAAATCTATCAGGTTAGTTGTCATGGTAATAATCTCTGGAGGGCTGCATATGGGTTGCTTGTGGTGTTTTATTTAAGAATTTGCATCCCTAATCAGAGAATATCAGAAGAGGGGTATCCAGTTGTACTTACGTCCTCTTTGGCATTGTAGTAAACAATTTTGTCGGCCTGCAAAGAGATTGAAAGAGAAACAGGAAAGATGAGTAATGAATGACCAGGATGTACACATATATGAAAGTGTCTTAATACCAGGCTGACCACAGCATCAGTGACAAGTGTGGTTGGGTGCTTTGTTGCATCTTTAAATCCATAGTGTCAGTCAGTCAGTGTGGAAGTCTCCAAATGGATGCCAAAATGTGCCCACACTAATCAAGGACAAAATTCCACTTAGCTATTTGGTGTCTCCTATAGTTAAATCCACTTCTACTTCTTTTCTACATAAGGAAAAGTGCCAAAGAAGAAGCTGTATGCATTAAATGGAAGTGCTGGACAGAACAAACAATATACAAGAAATTTTACTATTCGCAGATTGTTAGCAGTAGTGAGGCTAAAATGTGAAGTTTGCTCCAAAGATGGCAGTTGTTGAAAGGCCACGGCACAATTAACATCAAGTGGGTTTTTCCTGGGAGAATATACTCAGCAAATTGAATGGCAATCTGCCATGTGTGCAAAGTTGAGATTTGATTGAGTGGTGTAGGTGTGTAAGGGTGTTATGGAGTGCCTAAAATGGAAAGGTTTTAGAAAGGTTTTAACCTCAGAGGAGCACTTTACCGTACTTTGGACAGTACTTACAGTACTTTGGACACAAAAGGTCAAAAGGAGCTAGTCTGATGGACAAACTTACAGACTGTTGCAGATCTAAATATACTTAAAATGGCTTTTGTATAATCTATAAAGATAACAGGAAGTAAATAAAACTGTCATACTTTTTTAAGGTTTCATCTGCAACTGTGGATATAATTTGAATCTTACTATATTTTCTTGCAGGGCAGTGGTCTGTGACACTGAGACCACTGAGGATCAGTTAACCAAGTGGTGTTGTTTTGCTCTCACACTGCTGGGCTTCCTGTCAGTACACAGGCTAGTAGGGCGCTAACGAGCTAGCCTAGCTGCTGACATAAGAATGCCCTGGAGCCACAGAGCTGGTTCACTGATTCTCACCACCTGCCTACCACTTCTGGAGCTGCAAGCCAACAGGATGGTAACGCAAAGGGATCTGTGACTCCTCCTGCTACTGCGACTGGTATCTTAGCTTAAGCAGTTTGTAATTAGCTCACAATAAGTGATTAAGCTGTATAAACTGTGCCAAACGCTAACATCTGCAGGTTCAAATATGTGCAAAGAGCACTGTAGGCTGATATGCAAAAAATACAAACAAAAGTGCTGATAACAGGAGACTGTGCCATGATGTTCTCTGTCAGGTCATGTTACTGCAGACGATGTGCACCTTAAGAGGTGATGATGACACTAAGGTCACACCACCATCACACCCTTCAGGGGAGGCTATTGTGTGCAAGAACACTGTATGTGTGAGAGATGGAGAAAAGCATATAGTGAGGGGAAGGGTTGGAAAATAAACTACGCTATTAAGTATGTGGCATGTTGTGGTGGGTGTGATGTGTACTGCCAAATCGGTGTGTATGATCTGTCTTGTCTGGATAAGAAGATGCTTGTTAATGTACTGCGATCCAATCTCTGCCAGGTGTAACTGCAGTTCATGTTCACCTTTGTAAAAATCTGATGACTCATTCAATGTGTCATCCACTCACTGAAAACATGATCTGCTCCCACGAGTTAAGGTGCTTTTCCCTCACATTCACAGCAGCTGCAAACACTGGTCTGTCAATGTCATAAAAGATAACCTTTTCCCCTCAAATGAAGGTTAATACGGGCTGTAAACAGCAGCGTAGCACAACATTCTGGGCCCTATATACAAGCAGTCTCTGTGGGCCCCCTTTTCTCTCTTGGTCCCTGTCTCTCATGCTCCTTTAAAAAATGTTGCCAAATAATTAAGCTAACAACTGTACACATTAAACTGTGGTGGTGATTAGGGTAGTCACTAATGAACCGTTATTACCACATTTAAACATGACAAAAAACTCTGCTTTCAAATAAATGATAGCCTTTACATTGCCGTATGTAGAATTTCAGTACATTTCATTTATCTTTGTGTCCAACAGTGTAAGTTAGTGGTTCAAAGGCATGTAGGCCTAAAAGCAAAATAGTGAAAACTTTAAAGTTCAAATTATGATGCTGACAATAATTTATGTTCTACCCTACTATGCAAATATGCACCAAGCTAGATCCCTGTCTTCAATCTAAACGGCTGATATTATCTTTAACCATTCTTTAACTGCTAGTTGTGCTCACCTTTCTTTTGGAAGAAATTAGTTGGCAACTGTTTTCCTTCACTTTCCTTCTTTTTTTTTTCTTTTTTGGTACCTTGACATCCCTTTCTTGGGGATAGACATGCCTGTCAAAAGGCACATTGATGCTCCAGCATCAGCCCTCACTTTGCTGGATGAGCCCGTTTAGAGATGAATCCCAGTGGACCATTTTAAGTCTTTTGTAATGGGTCAAAGGGGCCTCAAGGCCTCCACTATTTTTATTTTTTAGGGGGGTATAGAGTTCTTAACCGATTTATTCAGCCATTTCAATTTGTGGTCCTTGGTAAATAGTCCCACTTTTTCCCCCACTTCGACGCCCTTGGCTGTAAAGTTTCCTATTAGATGATGTGCAATGTTAATCTTTGACAGTGTCACTTCCCAACCTACTCGCACATTTAAATGAAATCAAATCAGAATGCAGACAACAACAACTAATATAAATACGTAAACACAAACAATGTGATCTCACGCAAGACATCTTGAATTTTAAGTGTAAATAGGGCCAAAGACATTATATTACACTGAACAGACACATGCAAGCGTGGTATTCTATTGCAGCAGTCACACCTTTTGTGTTAAGTGTTTAAAGTCAGCAGGGGGAGGTGCCCAGCAGTACTGGCCCAGTTATCAAAGGTGACAGAGAACAGACGCATGCGCATAAACACACACACACACACACACACATACACAGCACACAGGATGCTCCATTTGTTATTTCAAATACTCATGAGTTACTGATCTGATCTTCATGTTCACATTACAGAAAATATGAAATCTCACACAGATCGCCCACATCCCATGTTAAAATAATTTACTGGAATATTTTGAGCACAAAATCACGCAGCCTCTGTGCTTTGTAAAGATATCCAAATAAATTCACACAATTTTTTTCTGTTGATGTTAAAGGCTGATATCCAGCTAGCCTGAGGCAGAGACAGCAGTGTCTCCACACACAAAGCCATCACATTCTCTTTCTGACATAACTACAACCACCTATCAATAATCTATCAATTGTAGAGGTGAAAGACACTGCAAAACTCTTATCGCTTTCCAAATAATACAGATCTCAGAAGCCTCAGTACATATCTGCAATCTATGTGGCTCGATAAAGATAAAATACTTAAGCATGACGTAACTTATCAGTTGGTTAAAACAATTAATTTCCCAACACCTATCTGGTCAACAGAAAAAGTGCCTCGCTTGTGTCTATTTCTATGCTACCAACACAGAGCACTGGTCAGACATACAGTAGCTTTGCCATGGTCAGCTTAGACACAGCACAACATGAAATGACCAACAAGTTATTTCAGCTAGCTAGCTTATTTGCCAAGTGCATAATTTCACACACCAAATTTAGCATTATGAAATGTGCTACTTCCACTCATTCAGACTTCTAAGCAACATTTCAAAAGTCACAACACTAAGATGTTCATACATAGGACATATCCATATGAATTAATTCACTACATTTGTACAGAGCTCTGAGCTAAACAGCCTACTTCTTGCACATTTATAGCAAGGTTACACAGCAACTAGCAGCCTTAGTGTAAACCCGTAAGGCTGCTTTTAAGTATTCAGTCTCTATATCCACACGTCACCCACCTATGCTTATTTAAAATGGAGGTATATATTTAATTGGTTAAGGTATCAGAAATCCCCATACCATTAACCAAAAGCGTATTACGTTAGCTAGCCAGGCATCCTGGGCCAAAGGAATCTCAGTGAGTAATACAGCAGCTAAATGAATCTATCCCCAGAGAGGATATTTCTTTCCACATCTTCTCAGTGCAAGACAGCATGCAAGAAGTTGAATAGTGGGAACTTTTAATGGAAAAGAATCATTAAGGTTTGGCAAACAAGTGTTCTTTAAGTAATAGGCTAAATGGTGAGGTTGAAGTTCTTGCAAGTTCTTCGCCCACAGTGTGTACACACAAAATCATTTGTCATTTTTTAAATGGCTGCCAAGAGTGTGAGGATTTTCACATTTCAAAGCAGGGGAAGGAAATTTGCAATTTGCATTTATTGTGAAAAGGCCGGAGCTGAAACACTGGCCGTGAATACACGACAGAGCTGTATTGTAAATCTGAGAGACTGCCATTGTGGAATGGGATTCATTGGACCAGCAATTGGTTAAAGTAATTGAATGAGTAAAATAATAGTGTGTTCATATTATTTGCTGTACAATCTCTTCTAATGTATTCTTAATACTATGATGAATGGACAATGTCAGAAGGTGAGCAGTGCGTGTGTCTGTTCATAATAAGCTAATAAGCATTCCTGATTGCTTTTGCTTTATGTAAAATAATGAAATTCAATCTTGTATAAGGTCATTACAACACTATAGTCATTGTAATGATATTTGCCATCCAATTATTACATATTGGATCATAAATTATATATCTCTCCTCCTGCTCCTCTTATGGAGTTCATGGCACCAGTTGATCTGTATGTAACGCAGATAGTGTTAATGAACATATCAGAGCAGGCTCCAGCTTCTCACTCACCTCACTGTCGTCCCGCCACACGTGCTCCATTTGTAACCTTTCTGCTTCTGATGCCAGCCTCTGAGAGAAGGAAAAATGAGGAGGAGAGAGTAGATAGAGAGAGGAATACAGTATGTTAGACCTTGTTTAATATTCTCCTCAAAATGTAGAACTGAAGATCTTTTGGCTCTAAGCCTACATTACTGTCAACATCATAATAGCTTGGGCCCCGACTCTCACTTTGCCCAGGGATGACAGTTTTTTCATTTGCTGATTTAGGAACTTAAAAGCCATGAGCCACACAGCTAGAGAAATCTCTATACTAAGGTGATTTAAAAGTATGTGAAAAAATAATAAATAATAATAAAAATATGAATAATTAAATATCAGAGTTACATATCAAGTCAGACATCTAACCCTATGGTAGATCAACAGAACAGTGTGTTCAAGGGAAAATACCTTATTTCCTGCTGAATTATCACCTACAGAAATCAGTACTAGCTGTGACACAATGCTGCGCTAAAATTAGACACCCACCTATTCTATCTTTTCCCAGATCTGGTCTTAATGACTAGGTTAATGGGTTTATAATGGGCTGAGCTTTTAATCTGTACCTGGTCCAGAAACGCATTGTACTATTAATTTCCCCCGGGAAATATGGCACTAAGGGTTTCAAGTCACTCAAAACGAGCAGACATATGATAGGGGCAAAGGAGTAAATTAATTTATGAAATGAGATGAGGAGGGTGTTGAAATAGTGAATTGTTGAATTATCCCTGCTGTGAAATTAGACAAGACAGTCACAAGAATTAGAAAGGCAGAACAAAGTCTTAATCGCATGTGGGGATATTAGTCGCAGTGTTTGGGTGCAAAATCAGTGCTTAAACATGAAACCAACTGTGCATTTTGCTTTGTTTGCAATTTTGGTATCACTCATCCAAAAGCACTACAAATCCTGAACCACTTGGTTGATATTATTGTAGCCTTACAATAAGATAAAGTATATGTACTTTATCTGATTAAGAAATCAGAGGGACAACAGTCTGAGATAACAAACGAAGGGGAAAACCATCAGTCATCTATATTGACTCCAAACATAGAAGTCCAAACAAAAAGACATTTCCATAGCAACAGTGACAACATTTGCAAGCCCCTTGTTCCTACACGGCTCTTCCTTGCAGCTACTGCTTAATCAATTGGCCCTGAAGCAACATTTTGATAATGAAAACCCCCCTCCTTCAGATCTGGCTTCAGATCACTTGTTATGCCTGTACACCATACCATACGATAATGCATGCCGGGGGCTGACACTCTTGTGGTCTGAAACACAGTTATCTCGAAAGCCTCTCAGTTTTGTCTCATTAGGGGGGAAATTTAGAGCAGCTGTCAGAGATGGTGGGACATCGCAGCTAGCAAAGGAGCAAAGGTGAAATGGAGCTGTGTGGGTTGGTGTGGTTAAGGCAGGGGATAAAAGCGTCACTGCATTTTGTTTACTATAAACTTTATGTGTTTGTGTGCACCTGCAGGAATGTATATGTCACATAAGGTGAGACAATACAGACAAAAACATGCACACATTTTTTTTACTACACTTTGTCTAATTTAGTCTCCTAGTCTCCTAAATACGCCAAAAGTTATTACATAATACCTCATTTACATATTAAAACTAAAAGTCAGAAAATGTATAAAGTAGTAGTAATCAACTGAGGAAGGTTCTTGTATGTTTGGAGTTTTATAATACATATCTTCTCTCAAAATGTGTTGGGATTTTTGGGTTAAAAGTGATAATAGTAATTGTAAAGCCCCTTGAGGCAGAATTGTCATCTGTGATGTCGAGCTGTATGAATAAATTTGATACGACTTAACTATACTTTACTGTATACATCCGCCCAATTGGTCATCCACCCTTCTATCCTCCTTGTGAATCTCTATGCATCCAAACGAGCATTTTCCAGTTGTTTGAGGAATATGGCTCTCGACAGGTGGGTCATGGTTCACAGCTGCAGTGACTTAATGGAAATATACTGTCAGTTTCCAGTTAGGTCATTATTTGTGAAAAGAAAGATCGGGGTGTATGTTTCAATCAATCTAATAAAACTGGTTATCTGATGCTGTGGTCACAAACCCATCGATGTTGATTTACTCTGGAAGCACTGCTATTCAAGCTCAAAGCATCATCAAAAGAATGAAATACAATAAGAGGTCAATATGTTTTGAACTGACACCATTTTCTAAGGTGAGTGTCAATATAAGCCACAGCAGCCACATTTCTTAGGGAACAAATAGTTAGTTTTTTAAAGTATGTTTTTCAAGTTTTCCTTAGACTTGTATCCACATAACTACGCTGAATTTGGATGATGCTTTGAGCGCTTGCAAAATGCTTCTACAGTGTAAAACATGATACAGGAATTTAGTCAAATCAACTTAAATTTTAACATGAACTTAATGCAAAGTTTATAATTTCGAGTTAATTCAACTTGAAATGTCTCGTTTTCATTTTAAGACCACTTCAGAAATTATAAACACGAGTTCTTTTGACTTGATACGATGATTTAAATGACTGGCGGTACATTCATTCAGTTCATTTGATTTCAATCAAGTCATTACATTAAGTTTCTTAGGAAACATGAGCCGCATATAGTGGACTATCCTAGCTGTACCTAGATGCGGACAAAATGGTGGACCTCCACGAAAGCACCTCTGCAGTTGGCAGGACACCACTTGATCTCAGAAAGCAGAAGATGGTCTTCTTAGTTTCCATTTCGAATTAACATCTGTATTACGCATGTGCAGTAAAGGCGGAATGGCGGAGGTGCCTTTCTGTACAAAAACAAAACTGTGTTCACTCTGTGATATATGATGTAAGGAGAAGGAGACTAAAATGACTTGAGGCCTCGGGAAAGGAATTAAACAAAATGCTTGATTGCTTTTCAAGAAAGCGAGACATTAATACACGAATACAGGAGATGGAGAAGATAAACGAATAAAGACTTCATTGATCAATCATTGAAACTATGTTTGTTTGACAATCATCAAGTCATTTCTTCATAATATGCACAGTAACTATGCCAACAAATTCTGTTATGTTGAAAACTTTCTGCACATTCAGAATTTCTCCCACTAATCTGTGTTCTCTGACAAGTCGTAATATAACGAGACTAACGTCATCATTTAATGAGCAGTCTACTTGCCCTTTACTCCGCTGTGCATTACGTTTTTGAACCGCTGCTAGTAACGTTATCCTCTTCAGACCGTTTGACCGACACAGTTTGTGACTGCATGTTACGTGTGAAACCGAAAGTAAAAGAAACACTTCTGATCAGGCAGAAATCTCACCACAAATCCACACATTAACTTCAGTAGCTCAGATAAAAAGCGGCACACAGTCCCAAACAGAGCAAGGCTGGCTTCAGCTTTTAGATGTTTAATGTTGCAAAACTTTACCAGCTACGTCACCATTTGACATTTGACTTACAGAGTTGATTCGCTCTGGGAGTCTTATAATCTTATCAGTTATACATTTGTATTTCAGCTTGTAAAAAAATGTCAATTGCGCGAGTCTCGCGAGGCAGCTTTTTACCTGATGAAAAATCTCGTCACAATTTAATCTCGAGATCTCGTCACTCCCCTCCTACTGACCCTGTGTTTGACTCCTGCCAGCCAACAGTTACAGCTGTCAGGACAGATTTCCAGCAGCTGTACACACACACACGCACCTGCCCACAAACACACACACACTAACACACACATACGCATTCATTAATGAAGAATCTCTACAGCAGATGAAGAGGTCAAATAGTCAAAGGTCAGCAGCAGTTGCATTGTCTTCCGCTTATCTGCTCTTTCATGTTAAAATTGCGGTTTCTTAGCATTGATCTCGTCACACCTTTAAATGGTGTCAGATTTATAGTGTTAGTATAGTGGAACTGCCACGTCAACACATATCAGATAATCAATCACAGAAAGTGAGATGCAACACAAATTCACAAGTTGCGAAGTATTTAAAATTCAGAAAAGACCACAACCCATTACTAGAATGTGCTAAATGACAATAAATAGGCACAACAAAAATATGGACTTGCTACTGAGCTGGCATTACATTTTATGATATCAGCAAGCTGCTATGACTAACGAGAGCATATTGCTGAGTTGCAGAACTGATAAAAAAGATGGTCTATGTCTGGTTCATGTTGAGAATCAAGAGTCAGTCTGTGGTTTTAGTTCCTGTATGGAGAACATGGACACATCTATCTCTGGTGACATCTATTCGTTTTCAATTGCTGGTGGGGGTAAAACCTTTTGTTTCTTTAAAGTCAAAAGCACTTAATATGTGCCGTCATTGGAGCAGAAGAGACCTGTAAGTAGGGCTGGGCAATAAAACAATAATGATAATTATTGCAATATATTTTTCCTCAATATCAATATAATAAATGTTCAGTATATCGTCAATAAATATTTGGTTTAATTCATTTGGATCACAAACAAATTGGCACTTAATTTTTCTATTAAAATATTTATTTTGATTTACTCAAATTTTTTATCATAATAGTTTTGAATGTTCGCCCTCAGACATGTGAAGTGATCCTCTGTTTGGCATCAAGTGTTTTTCCCATTCTGACCATTAAGAAAAGTTTAACCACATAATTAACCATATGGTTTCTTCAATTTTCAGTCAGGAGAAAAAAGCAGCCTTTGAACTCAAAGGAAATAACGATTTGACATATATCGTGATAATTATTGATATCGAATGATATGAAATGTTTTTATTACCCAGCCCTACCTGTAAGTCAATACGAGGTTTAATGATAAATAAAATATATCAAGTCCACTGCACTGCCTTAAATCTCTACATGAAGATTGAAGTGGAATTAATTTTGTTACAAAAACAAATTTGATTTCCAAAGAGCTTTTTTCCCCCACGTCAAATAAAAAACCCAAAAGCAAGTATAAACCAAATAACTGATAAAACTGACCCAAAAGTACATGTAAATACACAATATAAGTTGTTTACACAATGTAGAACAATGTTTCAAATGTAAGTGACTGAGAAACAGTTTGTGCTACAGCCTAAACATGAGAAT